CTGACCATCTTTTCAAAGTTCTGAGGAAGTGTAACAGCAAGTTTGATTGCTTAGTCTACGAGATGCTATACATAAAGGACATCAAGCCTTCTCTTTACACGCAAGCCGACTCCATTCGCGCCAAACTATTTACGTGACTCTTTCGTACGTTTTATTTTCTTTTATTGTGTTTCTTACCTTGGGAATTATACCCCATTGGACCCGCAAATATTTTGTGTATTGTTTCAAATTTTATATAGTCGTTTTACACCTTATACTTTTTCACTTTTCAACTTGATAATGGCGTAACGTAGCGCCGAAACGTCGTTCGCTTTTTTAAATGTATTTAAAATGTATTTTAAACATCTTTTAGCGTTTAACTTTTTAATCAAATCATTAAATTTTCGAAATCTCTCCTGTTACGTAAAAATATTAAGCTACAAAAAACGCGCTCATATTTCATGTGTCATCTGTCGCGCTCATGGTATGTAAAAAAGGCAAAAACAGATCGTGATCTTTCTGCAAAACATGAAGGCCAATGACTTGTTCTTCAAAAAAGTGAAGTTTAATAAGCAATAGGACGGCAGAGGAAAGGAGACAGCAAACCTTCTGTGACAAGAGTGACAATCAGTAATGTTCGAAAAAAATTCCGCCAAACTTCAATTCAGAAGATCTTTTCGGAAAAGGAGGGGGGGCGTAAGGGGGGTACGATTACCGCACGTGGTAGAGAGAGAAAACCGCAATAGCGCATCAAAATTTACTCAAATATCGAAACCGCAGTTGCAAATGGGAAGAAGTTGCCGTTCTCAAGACTAAAATCCGCCTTTTGAATAGTGTTTCCAAAGTTCGTCGATGTTAAGCATACGATAAACATACATGTACGACCATCGCACTCGTCTTTGTGTATCAAACGTTTTCAGTGAAACTTATATACGATAAGGTCCGATAACTGTCAGTCCATTTTTTCAAGTAGACTGTAGGAATGGAAAATGTCGATAATCGATGTACTGTTGAGGTAGGTTAACGGTTTCTCTGAATTTCCCCAGCCTCCTCTCCCCTCGATTTTCCAAACAACGGAACTTTTTTCAGTTTTCTGTAATTTTCGCCCCCTTTTCCTTCTTCGTAGAAAATTGCTACGCAATTCATAACGACCTCACTATTTACTGGATTATCTGACTAGTCACTCTGTTCACCATCTGGATCGCTTGCCATTGTTTCGCGACTGGCACGAAAGAGACGGTAAGAACGTTAGCCAAGACACATTTTAGGGTACTTTTTCCCGCGAAAATGAAATCTCCACCATGTCTATGAGCGCATTGTCTGGACTCTCTTTGCGCAATCTTGACGGTCCCCGACTGTGCAACTAAGGAGACACACAGGCTAGGGGGCCTAGGGAGACCTTTTAGGACTCCTTTTAGGATTTGTCAGGAACCCATAGATTTGTATAGTTGTCATACTTTAAAGAAACGAAGCAGATCACCGCGTGACAACAATTTTTTCACCGATTACCGCGTCATAAAATTTAAAATTACCGCATACTTGTACTCTGAAAACCGCAACACCGTACTTTGAAAAAAAAATTACCGCAAAATCGCACCAAAAATAACCCAATACCGCAAAGTGTCGCGCGTGGAGCTCCGCTAAGAACACAACGTTAAGTGAAGATCACGAGAAAACGCGCAAGTGATAGCCCTGTTACGTTTGCCAAAAACAAGCATTTTGCCGTCCTCTTCTTTCTGCACTCCTTTTCTATTTTTCACCCGACCATTATTTTTTTTTTCGACGTCAGTTTTCATTCTCGTTCGGTTCCTTGGTGCACTGCGGGCGCAGAGTGTTCCAAGTGTTCGAAAGTGCCGCGTCACGACAATTCGTCATGAAACGTCCCTATGGTAACTGTAAGTTTTGAAAGTTTTAGTTCGCATTTGTTCTTATGCTACTGTTTGTACCACATCGCCTTTTTTAAATATTGGCGCAATTGTAACATGGTCGTGCTTCAAAAACCGGATAACCAACTTTACGCAGCCATTGTTCGGTCTTTGAAACAAAATTCTCGATCTGAGTTTCAACCGCCTTTCGTCGCGCCGCATGGCGATCGAAAAGTCCGAATTCGAACGGGTTGTCATTATCAATCGCAAATACCGGAAGACCATTGGCAAGAAAAGTACAATCGCAATGTAAAACAGAGTGTTCAAGGATTTTATACGCCGGCTCATGTTCCGTATGCTTCAGTTGGAGATGTTTGTTTGAATGTAAAAGACCACGTAGTGAAAACAGTTGGCGGTGAACAGAGCCAGGAGAAGGTAGGTTGTCAGAACATGCGCATGGACCATTGTGGACTGCATGACATCCCTGTTCGTCATGTCTTATATTAATATTAGCATCTCGTACAGCTTTTTTTTTTTTTAGAAAGGAATTACAAATTTTTTTTCTTTTAAAAAATATTCTCTGTAACTCTGAATAGTTATCCTGAGTTATCTCACCCGGTAAAATTCACCTTGACAACGCATGGAAGGTTGCTACGCCGGGGAGGGGGGGAGGGGACTCTGCATATGAAAGGGGTGGGGATGCTCGTCTAACATTTTGAATTAAACCCCTAAAGGAGACCGATCTGGGTGTGGCCCAAGCTTTTTTTGACCCCTAAAAGAGACCCCCCAGGGTTGCTACTTGTTTCAGCTCATCATACCATTATTTGTAAAAGATTACGATATTATCAAAATATATTATTATTATTCATTCTTACGATTTGATGGTATCATTTTGCATGGTTCAAATGATAATGAAGCATGGCTAGCCCTTCATTCAATCTAAACAATTAGAATGCACCACAACTTGCAAAAAAAAAACTTGAAGAGATAAACTTATTTGTTATTGTTATTGTATTAGTGCAAAAATCCTAGTCTTGCCGCTGATCTTTGTGAACAAGAGAAAAAGAAGGACGAAGATCGTGTGGAAACAAGTCAGAAGGCAGGGCGAGAAACCCACATTATGTTATAAGTAATGGAAAATTATTGTTTTCACATCGCAACAGGACGGCAGGAAGAAGAGGACGGCAAAACGCTTGGGTGTGACAAGTGACAGCGCTGTTACTTGTCTGTTTTTATTTGACGTGATCTTCTCTCTTTTACAAAAAAAGATCTATTTAGAAGAAGGTAAATTTGGCGGAAGGTTTTTTCAAACAAAATTATTGTCACGCTTGTCACACATAAAGGTTTGCCATCTTGTTCCCTCTTCTGTCCTGTTGCGTACGTCAGTTCACTCAGCGTACGCCTTCGGTAAGGTTAAAATACAATTTTCCTTCGGTTAAATGATCCTTTTTTCTCATTTTTTTTGTAGTAAACTCAATAATAGATTATAAATAATGATGATATTATCCACTTCGAAAATGTAGGAGGGGCCATTTAGCAATACGACAGAGGTTTTATTCATTTTAATATGTTGTTGTTGTTCAGTTGTTACGTTGTTTTTCAATATCAGAAACGGATGATTTTTTGTCATGACTTATTTGAAACACTGAACCGTGTGCAAGAAATATTTTGCTACCAAAAATGATCGCATCTGAGCCGCAAGGAATATAGCTAGTTATCGACACTGAATTGTTCTAGTTTGTATAGGTAATAGCATGATTAGTAGTGATATTTGGTATAAATACCATGAGTGATATTTCAAGATTGTCATACGTAATTTCACGAGTTGTTAGGTGAGTGAAATTTGAGACAATTTTGAAATATGGTATTTATGCCAAATATCACGTACAAATCATGCTATTATTTGTTTATACTACTACCCGCAAAAGGTTGTAATTTTCACATGTAGGTATTTCAAATTAAGCTGAAATACCACGTCTCTAAGCCAATCAAACTGCAGAAATTTCGTATGTAGTAGTATCAGTATAGGTAATAGCATGATTTGTAGTGATATTTGGCATTACAACCATGAGTGATATTTCAAAATTGTTATACGTAATTTCACGAGCCGTTAGGCGAGTGAAATTTGAGACAATTTTGAAATATCACGAATGATATTTATGCCAAAATCACGTACAAATCAAGCTATTATTTGTTTATACTACTACCCACAAAAGGTTTGTAGTTTTCTCATGTAGGTATTTCAAATTAAGCTGAAATACCACACTGCTCTAAGCCAATCAAATTGCTGTTAATTCTCATATACAGTGAAACCTGTATTAAGCGGACACCCTCGGGGAATGCTGTAGTGTCCGCTTAATACAGGGTGTCCGCCTAATACAGGTTTCAATAGACAACATCATATGAGGTGTCAAATGCCATTCAAATGAACAGTGGAAACGTTTAGAATACTCCCAGAGACTATGACGGTTTTCGTTTGCATCAATTTCTTTATTTAAGTGGACCAGTTGATCAAAGTACCATAAACATAGATTGCAACCCAAATTTGAAGAAATCAGATGAGTGAAACAAGCTCGATACAAACAAAACGAAATAGAAAACATAACTGTACTGTGAAACTAATCAAAACAGTTCGTCAAGTCACGTTTTTTAAGGTAAAAAATGAAAACTTGTGGGTGGCAGTCTTTCGCATTTCCGGTGTCTGGCATGTTGGGTGGTGGAATTTAATTACAAGTGTCCATTTAATACAGGTTGGAAACAATAGAAATGACCATTTCAGGTACTTTTTAGGTGTCCGCGTCCGCTTAATAGAGGTGTCCGCTTAATAAAGGTTTCATTTAAAGTAAATAAGGGAAATAAATTTGGGGACTTCGGCTACTGTCCGCTTAATAGAGGGTGTCCGCTTAATACGGTGTCCGCTTAATACAGGTTTCACTGTAGTAGTATAAATGTCATAAAATGTAATCGTTGGTATTGTAGTTATAAAACTCAATAGTTACAGATTTAAACATTACTGTAAATTATGTATACTTTTAAAAGTTAAATACACATTTCATTCTTAATGAGAATGACATTAACAGCTGCATCAGGCTTATGCTGGGCAAATCGAGCTGAGTGTTGTTAGCGTAAAAGTGGAAGTCGAGATTACGGCGTTTGATGATGTCCCCAAGAGGCGACGCGTACAGCAGATACAGCATCGGGTCGAGGACAGACCCCTATGGAACTCTAAAGCGTAGATAATGATAATAATAACAGTGCATCAGGGATCTTAAGCCGAGACGTTTTTGTGCAGTTGCACTTACATTCTTCTTCTGAGGTTTTGCCTGAATATTCGAGCAAAGTGTCTTTATTACCAGTATTGTAAGAGAACATAGAGGGGCATTGAACTCCCGTGTTTTAGTTGCGATTAAAAGTCAGTTTTGGGTTCTGATAACTGCGCGAACGCTGAAAGTCAAAAGCTGTCTTCGCAATTGCGTTTTTGGCTGCCGTCAACATAATTAAGGTCACAAGCAAAGAAACCTTCGAAGAGACACACAAAGCGGATCAAAATCCACCAATCATTTCTGTTCGTAGGAGATCCGCTAAGATGATTGACGGCAGTGAAGAACGCAAACGTCAGTTGGCTTTTGAACTTCAGAATTCACGTGTTTTTGAAAAGCGCAGTAAGGGGGAGTTTGGAAAAACCAAGGGTTGGTGAAATTGGAATTTCAATTACTTTAAGACTTTTTCGGTTCTTTTTTAATAGTGAAGTAAACTACAAGTGGTTTATCTCACTGGTTAATAACAAAAAGCACATTTCCTTTTTTTGTTTTTTTTTTTACAATTAGAACAACCTTTTTGTACTGAGTTATTGGTTTATTCTTTTGTAGAAACAAAAATTACAAGGATTAAAGAAGAGGGCGTGTTTCTCGTTTCAAGATCAAGGTGGATTGAGTGAGATCAAAGCAAAGCTTTTTCAATACCGGGGAAGATTATCGGCTTTGCGAGCGTGTCAAACGTTTCAAGAATGTCTTAAAAAGAAGGATTTCATGCTCATGGTTAGTAAAATGAAGCTCTTTCATCTCTACTCCAAATCATCGCTTTACATAACATTACAGAGAGTCGCCCCATGAAAGAGAATCCGGATTACGGAATCCGGAAAATTTTTACTTGACAGAATCCGGAATCCAGCAATATTCGCTGTTGAATCCGGAATCCTTGGTTTCGGAAATCCGGAACACATTCTAAGGAATCCTGAATCCTACTGCCTGTAATCCAGAAACCAAGTTCCACTGGCACAGAATCGACACACCGCAGAATCCAGAATCCAAGACTAGGACTCCCTTTCATGGATTCCCTCACAGTCGGTAAGCGACCGCCCAAGGTGCGAAGATTAGGTAGCCTGCGAGTATCGAACTATACGAGTCTCTTTCGAGAACAGGTCCCAAGATATCTGCTTTTAAGCAAAGATTGTTTACTTGCAGTTTGTGTATGTGAGGTTCCACGTTGTCACTTATAAAAGTTCCGTATACTCTTGGAAGCCTAGCACTGATTGTGAACATAGAGATTAGACCACGGGTCAGTTGGTCGCCGACAATAGGTTAAAAATTACAAAACTGTCTCGCCCAAAAGTGGTCCGTAGCGGTCGCTTACTAGAGGTGATCGTTTTCTGCTTAGAATAAAGTGGAGATCGTCTAAAAGCTCTACAGAGCTTGCTTGATCTCCTGCCTTGTAGTAGTGTAATAGGTTATGTCTGTACAAATGAATTTATGGTAAATAATTACAGGGCTTTGATTGGGAAAAGTTTTGATGTTTTTGGATAGATGGTCGCTTATGGAAGGTGATCGCTTATGAGAGGTGATCGCACGTGGGTGCGTTCAAATGTATTTTACATTTTATCCTTAAAAATGTTTATAATTTGTCCTTCAAAGGTTTTGTTCTTTTATTTAGTACGTTGAAGCGATGAAAGAATTGAGTCAAAAGCAGGCCGAGTGTGCTATATCGCCAGATAAACTAAAGACGATACTGAATAAGATGAGACCATCTGAACGTTTGGCTTCACCTTTACTTGAAGATGAACTAATTCCCGCTTTACCGAGTGAAATCAAGTCTGATCTTGAGGAGGAGATCACTGATCAAAGGCTAGTTTATAGATAAATACATAAATGAACTAACCCATTTTTTTAATAAAAGGGGCAAAAGCAGTGCCATTCTCATCACGTGTGACGACATTAGTTGTCCGATGGTAATAAAAAACCGTGCTTTACATGCTTGTCAGGCGCGGATCCACACGGTTTTCAGTGTTTTACTGAAATCGGTCAGATTTTTCATAATAGATGTATTAAGTTGCAAGGCTTCATCCGAGGAGAAGGAACTGGCCAAATTATCCTGTCTGAATGACTCAGAAACCCAAGAAAGGGAACTTTGGGAAGTTAAAATCGAAAAAAAGTTCCCATTGGTACATGCCCCCGGACCCCCCCCAAAAGCTTTTCAAACCATTAACGGACAACTGAGATGTGCTTTATGTAGTGGGAAACTACCTCAGACCAGAAAAGTAGGTGCTCTACATGACACTAATATAAATTGCAAAATGTTTGAGGGTATACTGTTACGCGTTTAGACCAAGAAGCCGTGAACGTATACTTGTCATGAACGTTTGATGATGATTGCACAATAAGAAAATAGTTTCACTTTCCTGTTACAATGTTCCAGTTATAATCTGTTTGGAACAAGTTAAACAGACGAGGTCGTGTGTTCATTGCTAATAGGTACCGCTTTCCTGGTAAAGCCACGTTACCTCGAATCTCCGGACACCTCTCTAAGATGGACAGTTAGTGCCGGGGCCCGAAAGTGTTCTTCATAGAGAGAGTCTACTGTACCTTTTTAAGCAAACATTAATAAAACAATTATGTCTCGAGGTCACAGAGCCACCTTAAATTTTCGAAGATTATAAAAGGTTTTGAAAAAGGCTTGAGTTTAATAGTGCTGATAAAATCGACTGATATATAACGTGACTGATTGACCGGGTAATATAATTCAGCTGTAATGTTTTTCTTGCAGGGTGCTGGACACTTTTGACAAAAAAGAAACTTGGGACGACCTACTGGAAGCCGGAGAAAAACCACCTTCTAATCCTCAGGCTCCATTGCCGGGAATGGCGCGCAGTAGTGCAGCTAATAAAGTTGGTGCGAGAGGTGGAGTTACAAGAACAAGTTTTCTAAACACAGATGGCTGGAAGATGGTCTTTGGTGGAATTAGACAAAGGTACGTTTAGGGGCTATTAATACAACACCGGGATGACTTTCAATTTTGAGTTTACTTCATTCTTTATATATTTCTCTATATATTTTTTTTACATGATACCAAACCGACATTTCATTTCCGTTCATTTCCTCCGGAATGAGTTCATTCAGGTTTTCAATCGGAATGAAATGCTCGTTCTAATGCCAATTTCATTTCAGTATTATGTAAACTGAAAACGAACTTTGTTGTGGATTGAAAATCGAACATCGTGTATTCTGGGGTGAATAGCGCATGAGTACCTGATCTGGCGAGAAAACCACGTGAGGGAGAACGCCTTAAGCTAAGCCGGTCTATTTAATCACGTGAATATAATTCGTACTTCATTCCGGAACGAAACTCATTCCGGAATGAAAGCAATTTCGGTATTCTATTAACATCCCCTTAAGACCGCTGGTCTTGGAAAGCATTCTGTCTTCTGGTCGAAATTCTCTCTGTTCGCCCGCGCACTTGCATATCATTCCCGTTCTAAGAATTCCGAGCAACATGAGACTGGCTCACAGTATAGGGCTCTTCGAAAACTGATGTCTTGTTAATAATAATTTCCTATTAACTATTCACTATTCTTTTGTGAAAGTGTGCCTATTACTTCGCCATAGTACTTCCATGGCATTCTTGATAATGGCTAAGAAAATTGATTTAAGTGCTTTCGAAACACCACTGTAATCAATGGCAACAGTGACTTAATAGGGGCTTGACTCGGGAGGAAAAACTTTTGATAAAGCCAGTTGAATAAAATGCATGGAAGCGCGGGTGGGTAGTTGAACAAGATTTTCATCATAGTTTGTGTGGCCATTATTCATTTTTTTGGCCTTTTTATTCAGTCACCATGACTGAATCGTTCTGATTTTATTTAGTGGAGATTGAACGAATCCTCTCCCTCCAGCACTTTAGTAAGGTGAAAAGCTTGCCCTTAAGGTTTTTTTTATTAAACTACTCTGTGATTAGGGTTATTCTTGATTTGCAACCACGTGAAAAAGAGGCCATTTTGGTTAACAGTAGTACTAGCAGTATCTTTTTTCACTAAGAAAGAGTTTAGAAAACGTTTTTTATTATTTAGCTTCGCCTAACTAGAATCTAAATAAATAAATAAAACGTTTTTCTAAACTCTTTCTTAGTAAAAAAAAAGATACTGCTTGCAATACTATACTATTACTACTCTCAACTACTACTATTACTGTTAACCAAAATGGCCGCTTTTTCACGTTTGTTTGTTTGTTTTTTTTAACTAATATGTTAAGTAATATTAATGTTGACCACTTAAACAACTTCCCTCCAAATAAGTCAGTGAAATTCGCAAAAAGATCGTCAGAGAATAATGAGTTTCTTTTCTCTTTTTTCTACTCTTGTCGGCATC